TCACTGAACCATGTGTAACCTACAAAGCATTGCAAAATATGTACTGAAGTAGTATTTGGATGAAAAGGTGAAAATACAAAAAATAAATAAATTGAATTGCAATACTCAAAAAAAAAAGCAATGCCACCTCAAACGTGTCCTGAGATTATACAGATAATATTTAAACTTTTTTTAGAATAAAACTTCAATAGAAACACTGTGATGTAAAGTGACATTAGAATTTAACGCATGAAAGTATCGCTTAGCTCAATTTATTTAAGTGGATTTTCTCTATAAGCCCCTGTACGTGTCAGGCTGACAAGTGAAAAAGCTAAATAAAAAAGATAATCCAACAAAGTCTGTGCCCGAGATGTGAATTTACAACAGTAACACCAGCACCAAAGTGACATGGATTAATGGATTAGTTGGAAAAAAAGTCATTGGAACTGAGCACTGAGCAAGTGGCTTTAATTGAATATGTTGCGCTGATCTTGAAAGATATTAACTACACGTCAGGGCTTTGAATTGGGGCCCAGGGAGTAAAACAGAGAATAGAGCCAACATTTTCTCTTCTTCATTATTTATTGTCGAGTTTGCTTGGCTGCTTCTGAAAACCCTCTTTGTATTATCACATTGTTGCTGCGTCCCAAAATAAATCAGGATGGACCACAGGGGGAAACACAAACTCCCCAGAAGTACTTAAAGTTTGGTCCTGGTCCTTCTAGGCGGAAAATGAAGTTCTCATGAATCAGTTTCACCAGTTTAGTTCCTTTTGTAGTGACCAGACAGAAAAAAGGCTGCCAACATGGGAATCTAACCGGATTCCTGCGAATTCAATTCTGCTGATGCGCAGCTACTCACTGACGATGATGTCGATGGCGAAAGGAGGCTTCCCCCTGCAGCTCGGGTCAATTGTTCTGTTCGATCCATTATTCATCGCTGGATGATGTCGACGGATTTCTCTCCACAAACAACAACAACTTGTGCCGCTGGTCCCTCTCGTATCCACAGACGTGCGTAAAGTTTGCGCTGCGGACTCTCCTCTCCTCTCCAAGTGTCCAAATGAGGCGTCCTGAAAGTTTTCATGGAAGGTTATCATCTGTAGCCTACAAAAAAAAACACACTTGTTGCAGCCGCTACACACGCCCCCCCATGTCGTCACCGAAGTGACGCAAGAAAACGTGGTCTGAATCTGAAATTCACTGGAAATGAAACATACATATATAAAAAATTCATATAAATAAAAACATAACAGAAAAATGAGAAAAGACAGAAACGTTATTTTGATTCACATTCTTTTGTGTAATGTTTTTTTCATTATTTTATTTCATCATATATTCAGTGTATGTGTGCGCTTGCCTTTATTTCCATATGTGAATTATCTCGATCAAATTCACTGAAATGGAAAAACGAAGGTTTGCTCCTGTACTTTTGTGAAGCCTACAAAGTGTTTGATCTTAATAATACAATAAGAAATAAACTATCAAATAAAGTTAATAAAAGTTAATTGAATCTAGGCTCTCATAAAATTGGCTATTTTTGCCATGTGTTCGTTTTTCGCTGATCAGGTTTTGATTGACTACTCTAAAAACGGTAATGGTATGCGTTAGTTTGGAGAATGCGTGGTTGGTGATGGTATTTATTGGTTCCAGTTTGAGCTATAAACTGAGGCCTGTAGCAAATTACATTTATGCAAAACTCATGTCCTTTTTTCATCTTTGAGTGCACGTGTCTGTCATTTTCTTCTCATTGTCAAAGAATATTTGAGGCTATATTACAAATTCAGTGGATTCTGAAGGAGCACAGCCATGGTGAAAGAATGATCTGGATTCATATTTTCACAGGAGAACTTCTTGATAGTAGAGCTCAATACAGAGGACAGCCAGTTACATGGCCTTAGGTATCTAAGGGTATTTCTCAGGACTGCAGCTCACTGACAAAGCTGGCACTCACATCACATGCTCCCTGCTCCCATAGCAACATGTGCAGGAGCATCGTCATGTGAGGCATTTGCTGCAAACCTTTTTGCACCCATGAGTCCATCTGAATAAATTGTCAAATTGTCCCCAACCCCTATGGAGGCCTTCACTGTGATCTGGACCATCAGTTGAAGTAGTAGAATGTTGTCTTCTATTTATCTATCTATCTGTCTGTGAATTTTGTTTTGCATCACCCTCATATCCAAGTTTTCATGGCTGCACGAAGGAAACTGCTTTTGATTTGTTCTGAGATTAAAGATCTTTATCCTCAGGCTACATGTGCAGGCACATTCAAGGTATGATTAATAGGCAAAATCCATTAAAGCCGCAGATGCACACACATCCAGTCACACGACCCAACACACAGCCCAATCTTGGAATGAGCAAGGGATGAGAAAGGAAATATTTATGTGTCATACAAAGCTATACTGTGTGTGTGTATTTGTTCACCAGATACAAAATGTACAGTCTGACCTCACATGACCACTGACTCATTTTAATCAAGTCTGAGCAGCTGATTTTGGTTACGTCAAGCCACTCCTTAATGGTTCTGTTCCAGAGGGTGCACACTCTTGTTCCGACGGGTCTGAGTATGTGAAAGTGAAGTAAATGTTCCATCCAAAGACAATGAAATGATCAACAGCGCAACATGCGTACAGGAAAATATCAATAAGCTGTTTCTATTTAGTTTTTAACTGTTTAATTTGATCAAATCTTGTGTTAAAAAGGAGGCAGACTGGGAGGAGGATGTTGTCTTGAAGAAAAAAAGAGATAAAGGTAACAACTCCACAAACTATTTCTGATTCTCGGCTGTGCAACAGTCATTCCCACTAAAGTTCATCCAAATGCAGCAGCTTTTAATTGATCAACTCCTCATCACATTGTCCTCTGAGGTTTTGATAATATCACTTCCTACCGTGTTCAATACTGACAATGTCAGTTAATCCTGAGGTCACTGTCCCAAATCTCTTTTTAATGGTGAGCATTGCCTTTAATGAATAATAAATCCAAAGCCTCCCCTGAAGGCTGCTGCGGCCTTGGGTAGGAAAGTCACTATTTACTCTCCTTCAAAAACTGACACCGAGGTCAATAACATGGGAGTTTGTAGCTTAGATGTACATGGACACACAAACATACACATACACACAGGTTTTTGGTAGCTTTCCTTATTGGCATTTTGCATTGACTTTCATTCATTGTGGACAGCCTAACCAAAACCTTATCCTTTACTTGAACCATGAACAATACCGAATACCCTATACCGAACCCATTCCTAACCTAACCACAGCTCACAGCTTACCACTGATCTTAACCAGGAGCTCCGAAATCAAGTTTTGAGGTCTACTGGTCCTGACAAGGAGAGTATTTGTGGAGGTAAAGATCCCAAAGAGGCAACAAGTAAACACATACACGTGAAATAGTTAAAATAATTTGTTGGGGATTCAAAAATCACCAAAAAACTGTAATAGATTTGCAATTTTTAAATAATTCAGTGGAGTTTTGTCTTTTTTCTGTCAAACATATGCCCTCAACATAATTTAAGTACAAGAAGTCTAATAACTGTCCAAAAGGAAGGTTCTATTTTTTAATTCTATTACATTCAATGCAGCATTGATTTTTTTTTTTCTAATCTGTGTTATGTGACATTACGCTGTTCTCACCTTGGCCAGTGTCACCGCACAGATCTGCAGAACAGGTGTGTTACACTCAGGGGCTTTAACTTGTGATTTACAAGTGGCCATGTCAGGTATTTTTGAAAGAAAAATTAAACTGAAGCATGAAGGATTTCAGAGGATGAGCAGGGGGGAGTCAATAACAGAAGTCAAAGGCCTGGGTGTCACACAGATAACAAAGGGTTCGTGTGGTTCCTGAATCTAAGTCCACAAAGGTTGTTGACCCCTTTAAAATACTGTGGTCATGATGCAATAAGCCTGTTTTACTGTTGTATCTGTACTTATCAAAATAACTTTTTAAACCCTGCATAGCAACCACACCAGTGTTTACTGTTCCTATCGCTTAACACAGCTATTTATTTTGTCAGCTTGCTGTAATTGCATCTTTTGTTATCTTTCACTCCTTGAATTGAAACAGTGCAGATGCTGCTAATGATTATCTTCACACAAAGTTACTCAGGAGATTATACAAAACGTTCTCTTATTCCACTGAAATACACAATGTGTTTTCTGTGATACTGAGCCAATTTTGGGATTCAAGACTTAACGGACCAGTGTGTAAGATTTAGGTGAAAGGAATTTTTGGCAGAAATAATATAAACAAATTCTAGTGATGTTTTCACTGGCGTGTTTCATCTAAATTGTATGAATTGTTGTTTCCTTTACCACAGAATGGGCCCTTTATATCTAAAAACTTTATATGTACATGGAGGGGGGTCCTCTCTGTGGAGGCCGCCATGATTTTTTATTTCTGTCGTCCAAACTGGACAAACTAAAACCTTTTGAGTTTTCATGACAACTGAAGTTCACCTCTTACATGTTTGGAAGGGGAGGGTGAAATGAGGAGTATTCAGCTGCAACATGAAACTTCACCTCTAGATGTCACTAAATTCTACACACTGAACCATTAAGTTATATTGACAAAAACACATCAACACAGCTTATCAACACAAATCACAAATTGTTTCAGGAAAAAAATGTGTAAGTGAACCCTGGCAGTAAGACTTCAACTTGAAAATGAAAAATACAGGCGTAAGGAATTAAAGTCTTGAGACTTGATGCACTTGACACTCCAGATTATCTTTTGGTGGTAGTGTTGCATTGTGGGTATCATATGCACCAGGTTTAGACAGGAAGAAAACAGGACTCAAAAATGTATTTTGATCTTGAGTCCATCATGAGTCTGACAGCAGGATACTCTTCAGAGTAAGTATTTTGACTGTCGTAAATGTTCTATAGTATTAGACCTCTCAAAAGTGCCACTTTTGAGACAGGTGATCCTTTTACTATGTCAGCAATGCCCTCATATCATTCATGTTCTTTCTTTACTGCCCCTATCACTTATGGAGTACCTCAAGGATCAATACTGGGGCCCATTCTATTTGGTTTGTGTATGGTCCCTTTAGGCTCAATCTTCCACCTGCTTAATGTCTACTTTCACTGCTACACCAATCACACACAAATATACCTTTAAATCAATCCTGGGGATTGCATCTCTGTTGTGTCCATCCTTAATTGATTTCAGGGTGAGAAATACTGAATGTTAAAACAAAATATTTCTTCAGCTGGATGACAACAAGACAGAGGTGATTGTTTTTGTTAACCCCAACATCACAGAGAGTAAAACTTGCCACTTCGCACCATTAACATCACACCATCATACCAACACCAGAAATCTTTAATTCAACACTGTAAAAGTCAAATGGTGAAAGGTAGCTTCAGCACCTTCTGCTCCACTCAGTCCACTTTGTTCTTTGTACATATTTCTATATTACCTTGTATTTAATCATTCCCACTCATTTGATGGCAGCAATTACAAAACTGATGACAGCAAAATTAGACTGGAGGTTTAAAAAAACATTTATTGTTATTTTCACGTTACTT